CTCTCTCCCTCTTCTCTCTCTTCTCCCTCCCTCCCTCTCTCTCTCTCCTCTCCTCCCCTCTTCCTCTCCCTGTCTCTGCCTCTCCCCATCTTAATCCAGTGCTTTACAATCTTCTAATCACTAAACCAGCAGCACACTGCACCTCCTGCCTCCTGCTTTGGCCTTCAGAGGGTCCAAGGGCTATAGCACAGCCAGGCCCTGCTGGCAACAGCCATGAGAGGGCACCTCACTTCCTCCATCCCCATAAGACTTCCCATCTGGCCTAAGATTCACTCCCTCCTACCTGCCAGTACTGGCTGCACTTTCAGACTCTCCCTTTACCACTAGCCCTGAGTAACCTCTCCTCCCTCTGGTCATTATCTAATGACCCCTCCAAAAGCTCTTCCTTCTTTCTCAAGTGGGTTCAGGACCTGGCTCACAGTTTTTCCACACTAATGCCCCAGTGTGGCTGGATTGGAGCATTTGTGGAGGATAGCGATGAATAAGCACAAAGTGTATAAGGTCCCCGGACAGGGTCCAGGCCTGCAATTTCATTGGTTTAAAGCAGAGGTGTCAAACTCAGTTAGAAACATGGGCCACTAAACCATACAACGAGCACTTCTGGGCTGCATACTGATTTAGAAAACTACATGTTAGCATCACCTATGTCTTACTGTACTTTCCTTTATGCTGTTAAATACTTTCCAATGACTTGGGAGCATGCTGGAGTGTTGTGGGCCAGGCCCAGCTGAACATCTGACATCTTCAGTTCAGAGAACTCCCAGAGGAGGCCACTCATCCCAGCAGGCGTTAGCACCTTCTCTGCAACTCAGTGCCTTCAAGACTTGCCTAGAGCATCGAGGCCGTAAGTGACCTGCGCAGGGGCACACAGGCGGCACACGTCTGGGACAGGACTCAGGCCTTCTGATTTCAGAGCCAGCTCTCTCTCCTACAGCATGCTGCCTCTCCTGGACATGTCCATAATCATTCATTCCTGCAATCTGGACAAGTACACCTTCTTGGAGGCTAAGACAGTGAGTGAAGGGAGGGCCAGCCTTCCAGCCAGGAGCTGCAGGCTCGAGCCCTGCTCCTACAGCATCCCCCTCTTTGCATCCAGGCAGCTCCAAGATTACAAACTGCAAGGGAACTCTCAATCTGCCCAGATGTGAATTCTACTCCAAGCCATAAAATCCCCATTCTGAAGGGGAGAGAGGACATCTCTGATCTCACCACCCCACAAAGCCTCTTGGTGAGGAGGATTTTCATTTCCGAAATACGTAATTGTTTCGAATGGTAATGTGGCAGTGAGCAGCAGCAATCTCAAATCCTCCCAATTGGACTGTGGGGGTCGGAAAGGGGCACCCCTGGCCCCGCCCCGGTGGGAGAGGGCGCTAACACAGAACAGACAAGGAAATTCAACTCCAGACCCACAGAACTGCGGCTCTAAACTGTCTTGCTTAGTTCCCTAAAGGCCGTTCACTGAATGGAATCTATTCACAGGGCTTTTCCACATCCACCATCAACTTCGCACTATTTTAAATCCTTTGAAATAAAAAGTCAGTCACAATATTCAACGTATTAAACCAGCTGTCAGAAAAGAGCCCCAAGTGGGATACGAGCAATTCTTACTCCCGGGTCACTTGGTGGAGGAAAATGTGCTTCTAAGCAGCTTCCAGCCTCGGGGGGAGAACTGATTTGGCACAGGGACGAAGGGAAACGCAGCCAGAGCATCTCGGGGTGAGCACTAAATAATGCTCGACGAGGAAACGCAAAGGGTATATTTACTGAAGTAACTGCATGGGCAGAGTAGAGGAACCAACCACACTTTCACCCAAGAAGGGCAATTTCTCCTATCACCAAAAGCGGGAGGTCAGCCCCATCTAACAAAAAAGAAGGCGAAACAGGGCGGCAGGCAGCAAGGCTGGTCCGGTAGTCAAAACAAAGGGCAGGTGCCAGCCGACTGAGGGACAAAACACTCCCCTGGGCACCGTGAGGACCAGGAGTGACCAGCCCTTTGTGTGTAGAAGGATGTGTAGAACCGAGACAGAGGAGGCTTACCATGTTCACACCGCTGTTGGCCACTGCCTCGGCCATCCCAGCCCGTGACGTTACTCCCCATCTGTCTCCAACACAAGGAAAAATACTAATCTTCCTGCGGTGGGGTCACCGCTGTCACCACGGTCCCGTCTCCTCTCAGACAGCCCTAGGGTGGGGACCTGTAATTCCTTACTCTGTAACTGATCTGGGGTTAAGATGATACCAAAAGGATTAGCCTTTTCCTTTCAGTTAGGAGAAGGCTTAATGGCTTCATCACACAATCTCATTCTCTCAAGGACACACATTTTCTCCCTGTGAAAAACATGGCTTTGATTTTCTAAAAGCCCAAACCAAGAGGCCAAGGAGGCACGTAATGCCGCTTTACTCGTCCTCAAAGCTGGCTGCAATGAGCGGCCCTAACTCAGTATGTATGCTGAACGAAAGACAGGGAGCCACGGGGATGTCCCTACCGCCAGACAACGCCACGGGCAGAAGCGTCTCTCAGCTGTGGGAAGGACCCACCAAAGATAACACAGCATTCTGTATGCGTGGTTGGACGTGCCCAAGCCCTGGGAAATGCTGATCACCTAAGGCCTGCCAGGCAACGTGCAGTCCATGGGCCAAACGTGTCCCACCAAATAGCCTACCTGAAATCTTTAAAAAACAATTAGCGAACACAAATGGTCAACAGGGTCCAACTGCCCCCACAAGTGTCATGCTAGCAGGCCTGGTTCAATGGTGACTGAGCACATTCCAAGTCACAGGCCACAGCATGGCTAATCTTCATTCCAAAAGGCTGATGAAGCATCCTGATCACTATGAGAGACAGTGTCCATCTACAAGTTAGGAACATTGCTGAAGTTAACAAATAAACCTCCTGAATACTCTGCTTCATCACGTAGCTGCTTTTCCTTCTCACAAGAAAGGGTTCAAGGGAAGAGAGAGGGCATGGGAAACTTTTTAAAAGCATCCATAAACCTTATTTTCAAAAAAAGGAAAAAAAATCATTCATTTTGCCTGAATTCACTCAGTTCACACAGCCCATCCATGGATTTCTGATCTCGTGGCCTGACACAGAACACCTCAGCTGCCTCTACGAGGTGTCACTGAGGGTCAGCTGGCCCAATTCTTTGAGAGTCAAGCCACAGAGAAGCTGGTGGGCACCAGGAACGGGGCTAAGCTGACCTGACTTGCTCTTCTTTGAATTGTTCTCAGTTGTTTGTACTGCAGTCTCAAAGAGGACCGTGACGTTGGGTAGGTGCTGCCATGACAAGCAAGTGAACTGGATCTAAGTGAGGCAGGGCTGTGTAAAGTCACCAGCCTCACTTTCTCCTCTGGAGCCATCTGCATCCAGTGGCCAGAAACAGATCAGGCCCCAGATGCAGTGAGGGACCTTGGCCTTTGTAAGCGAAGGTGTCAGTGAAAAAAATCTAGGAAGGGGCTGCTGTATTTGTCCCCCGAAGGACAAAGATTTCAGGAGCAAATGCTCCACTCAGCTGTGTGTTTCCCAAGGCTCACTCAGGCACTTCCAAGAAATACACAAAATCCAACAACTAGATAAGGTTTACATTTTTTTTAAATTTATTTTTACAAGCATCTCTCTCTCCCACTCCACCTCCCCAAATAAATTAAAATAAAAGAAATGAAACCCTCCTCATATATATACACCATCCAAACACACTGACCTTGGCCAAAAATGTCGGTCAAATTCTGTATTCGAAGTCCGTCAGCTCTCTGGTAGGAGGCCAGTGCTGCGATGGACCTCTGTCTGGACCCGGAGTCTTGGCACTGCCCTGATCCATGTTCTTAGTCTGTCCAAGTCACTTTTCTCTATAATGTTGCCAGTGTACGTGTCATTCTCTGTGTCAGTTCATTTTATCCCAAGTCTGTCCAGCTTCCTATGAAACTGTCCATTTCATCATTTCTTATGGTATAATAACACACCATTAAACCATAGGCCATGATTCGTTTAGCAATTCACCAATCGGTGGGCATCTCCCTCCATTCCCAGTTTGAGGCTACAACAGAAAGTATTTCCTTGACCTCTCTGCAGCCCTGGACACTGTGGTTCACTCTCTCCTCTCCAGGTTTTCAGGACACACACCTTCACTCATTCCCATTCTCTCTTCTCATTCTCTCTCTCTTTCTCTCTACTCTGTGTCTCCCTCTCTCTCCCCCTTCTCTTTTCTTCTATCTCCTCTCTCTCTCCTCTCTGTCTCTGTCCTGTCTCTTTCTCTTTCTCTCTCCCCTGTCTCTGTCTCCTCTGTCTCTTTCCTCACTGTCTCTCTTTCTCTCTCTCCTGTCTCTGTCCTCACTGTCTCTTTCTCTTTCTCTCTC